ATACATTAAAGAGGGTTATAAGGCAAGCTGACATGTGTGGCTATGAGCACGCTCCATTACTCACCAAAATGTGCAAAGTGAGAATGAATCTTTCTTTAACTATCGGAAAGATTCATCACCCATTTGGAGTCGCTCGCCACTGCGAATGAGAATGGGTGTTTCGCTAGAACAAGAAAATGTGCATAGTCCCCCCCGACAGAAAGTGAGAGAGAGAGACACAAACAGAAAGAGCAGGACAATAGACACGGATAAAGAAACAACCTGCCTGTCTGCCTTGGCTGCAACGTACGCTGAAGGCAATTCCCCCCCTCCCTCTCTAACTCCTTTCATCTCCCCCTATGAGGCAACAACGGGGTTCCTAATGCACTTGGTTGTCGTACTAGCCAGGTTTGCGCCTCCTCAACAGACATGATCAAACTCAAACGAGCTACAAGCGGGAGGGCGACCACCATGGCTGGAAGGAACAATTGCAAAATTGGAAAGCGCAACCCCGACTTCGATTCTTAGGGGAATAAAGTCCAACGACCAACAATGGGGATATGGTCATAAACGAGCAACGAAGGCAATCACTTATAAACACGACAGGGGCAACCACGAGCACAAGAGCGATGAGCGGAAAAAACAAGCAGCAGGGCAACAGCGGCAAGATCAATACCAAGAAGAGGTAAGACTCTTTCCCCCTTTCCCTTACGTGCGCTCCGGTGTACACCTTCTTCTAATATGCAAAACGGGAATGAATCTCCTGATATAACACAAAAAGATACCTTTCTCTCTCCAAACCTCCTCTTCCCACGCACAGCCCCAAACCACAACATTGTCGAATCCACGCTTCTAACCAAAAAATTGATTATACTATTAGATTCGCCACAGTAAAAAACCCTTATCCCACATCTTCTCTCAACTGATTTCATAAAAAATCAGTCGAGTTATTCATTCTCCATCCTCTCCGGTGCCCTTCTTCCCTAAACCTCCTCGCAGCTGCTCTCTCTGCTATCTCCTCATCCCTTACCCCATAAAAAAAACTGCCTCTACCAATCAAGTCACCCTGCCATAAAACCTCTAAATCAGTTTTAAGTTTACCAAATTTCGTTAAGGAATGAGCGAACAAAGTTTTTTGCACCTCGTTGTCTTCCTCCTTCTCTCCGACTTTGCCTTCTTCATTATTGTTGGCGTCCACCCCTTTCGCAATGCGCGTTCCCACACCCATGTAGTGATAACGACAAAAAACTAGCTGTCCTGTGCGAAACTTTCAAAGGGAACCTATTGCTAGACAGTTTGATTAAACTTTCACCTCTAAACCCAAATAGGACGAACAATTCACACAAAAGTATCGCTGCCGCCTCCGCCACAATGCCCTTTGGCCTCGCCCTACTCAACACAGTCCACCGTCCTTTAAAAAATCCCTGTTCTCGCAGTGTACCAAACAGCGCCCCTTGAAAATCTCGGCGTATCTGTTTCATATAAGTATGTTGCGAATAGCCAGACTCGCCAGAGTTGGAACATTTCAGGAAGTGTGGTTCACACACTGTTTCTATAATAGTATACATTACCTCAACACTTCATGTCCAGCAAGGAGTACCTTTCCTTGGCCACGACATCTTTCGAAGTATGTGGTGGCAACCTTACGACTCGAAGAGCAAAGGCTTCGCGTCTGAATCCCACAAAGGCGCGAAAGCGTGTAAGAATTTGACTGTCTTTGAGGATACCGCTGGTCCCATCTCGCATACACACACTCAAATCCCACAATAGATTGAAGTCCGCAGACGATGCATGCCCTGCAGAGGGTCCCCGCCACTAAGGTTTCTCATGCTCCGCGGGTCAAACACTCATTGGTTCGCATGCATGTTGACCTTCTTGGCCCGTGTTTCAAGTCAGGCAAGGATAAAGGAATTCCGCCAACTTCCCAAGCACGCAGAACCTCAACAACTAGTCGAAAGGCACGTACTCAATGTCTTCGACTCTCGTGGGAGCCACCCGTGTGGGGTTCACATGCTCCGACCTCAACGTCTACTACAACAACCCATGTCGGTAGGCACCCTACGTCCAATTAGAAGAGTAACGACCTTGATATGCTGTTTTTAAGATTGACTGGTCCCAGCGACACAGGAAAGTAGCATTTCAGTCATCTGAAGTCCGAACTCAGGTTTGTGCTTCGGCAACTCATGGGTATACCAACTCATCTAGGCCGGGTTGTCCAGCACCGACCCCGGAACCAGTGACCTTTGGCATTGACAAATGCTCTGAAAATTTACAGATATGTAGTTTACATAATCAATAACTCATTAAAAGTTTTTCAAAAAATAATAAGATTGTGTAGGTCCCGAAATAAAGTGAAAACAAAAAGTTAAAAATGAAAAAAAAACAAAATAGTGAGTGGGCGAGCACATTTTGATACCCCCATCTTTGACGATTTTTAATGTTTTTTAAGCTTAGCTGAATGACTTCAAAATTTATAGGCGTGTACATTGCATCATAGAGAACTCACAAAACAAAATTTTGAAAACAAAACTTATTTTTAGGCCCGAAACATTTTTTGGCGGGGGTCGAACCTGGAGGTGTTCGGCCCCCGATATATATATACCTGTCTCTTATACACATCTAGATGTGTATAAG